AGATCAGTGGATAATTTAAGTCTTTCAAAATAAAATAGCTAATAAATATCTGGAAAACTTGAAGCATCCTGTTTGAGCAAATTATCTTCAAATGAAAATAACACAATAATAAATTACATCAGATTATTAAGAAATTCTTTTTAATGCCTTTCTTCTCCTCTTGATTAACACTTTAGTGCATATGCATGATGCTTTTTGGCCTGTTCTGTAAATTTTCCTGTTAAATGCAACTGTGCACCAATTACAGAGCTATTTTCTTACGTTGACTTAGTTGACTGTTCTCTGCTCCAGACCAGCAGTTTGAGTAACCCTTAGCTGTTGTTACTGCACACATTTCCCAGGAAATAACCTTGGTTTAAGAGTTGACTAGGTCAGTGATTCCCAAGCGGCGGTAAGTGGTCCCCTTGTGGTCCGTGAGTACATTGCAAGGGGTACATGAAAATACTTGATTTCTTAGGTAGTAATATAAAATAAGGCTGTTTTGCTTTGTGAGGACCAAGCTAAAACATAAAACAAGCTTTTTTTCAACCAAAAAGCAATTGTTTTTTTTTTTCTGAGTGCACCTTCATCTTTGACACACATCAAAACCAAGCAGAGGAACAGACTGGATGTGGGGAACAGCCTGTTTATCACACTGAACTATCAAAGAAGCTCAGGTGTCATGAATGTTGAAATCAAAATAAAATAAATGGAGTCAGTCTGACTAATACCATTTTTGTTTAGTATTTTGTTTCCAATTTATGAAGTTTATATGTGTTAAAATGAGAGTTACTCAGATGAGCGCCAGAGGCAGATTTATGATATCATTTCATTTTGTATTTATTTTTGGTTCCTTACAAGCTTTCAGGCATGGTATTTATGTAGTTTTTTATTTCAGATTTAAATAATAAAAGGCCTGAGAATTAAATGCTTATTTTATAATTAATAATAGTATGGGAACCACTGGTGTAGGTTATGGAGCTCTAACTTAGAGGCTGCTGCCTCTGCCACGCTGCTTGAACCCAGGCCATCAATTTAAACTGAAAACAGGAGATTTCCTTTCCCACAAAACGTCAAAATGATCAGGTCTAAAAAATAAAAAAAGATAGATGGGACAACTAAGATGTATTTGAGGTATAATGTGGACCAGGTGCATCTTTCCACTCACTTACAGTATTGCTTTACCTAACACTGCCTTCGTATCAAGGTTAAAAGAAAAATGGCAGACTAATATAAAAAAAAAGGTTATTCATGGAAAGGGCATTTATGACAGGAACATTAATATTTCTAATTGTCACAGACTAAAATAAAAAAGAATTACTTACCATCAAAACACACTGAATACCTATCAAATATACAAGGCGAAATATCCAGTTCTCCGTTTTCGTAATTTACACAGTTAATATCACCTACTGGGGAGCGCAATTTAAAATAATTTTGTTCTCCCTCCTTGTAGAAATTCTTGTCTGCAAGAGACCAGTGCCAGCTGCTTTTGCTCCCCATGTGGAGCCCAATCCAAATGGCATCACTGTAGTTCTGTCCAATCATTTCCAGAACCATATCCATGTCTTTCATATCTGTCATGGTTGCTAGGTCGTTGCAGTTTTCTCTGCAGTAGCTCTGTGCCTCCGTCCAGCTTTTTGGAGTGTCAAAAAAGACGTATGGACGCTGATGCACACAGAGACAAAGAGAAAACAGTCCTACAGAGATAAAAGAAAAATCTTTCTTTTTTTTATAATA